TTCTGCCCTGGCTGGCTTTCCCACTGACCAGCCCGTTGGGGGATACCGGTGCATGTTACTGTGTGTGCATTATTTGAGCCTGTGAGGGACTGGGTGACAGGGTGTTGGGAGGGGTTGAAAGTGGTGAGAGTCTTGCCATTCTTTCTGTGGGGGGTGGGAGGCTGATCTCTTTTGGAGTGTAATCCACCCGCTGAGAATGAAAATGCTGACGTCCCCAAAGGCAAGGTGGTAAATTGGGCAATGTTTATGACTTTTTTTAAGGGGTCTTGCAAGGGTTTGGATGTTCTGAACCTGCTACTCGACTGTAAGGATAGGAAGAATGAGGAGAATATAGGACCCTGCATGGTTTCGGTTTGTTTCAGTTCATACATTCATCCGTCTTGCTGATAACCCAGTGGGAACATGATCACTGTTTATCGAGTAGAGCGAGGTGGGTGGTAGACTGGAGACCTCACAGCAAACAGCAGGTGCTCCAATGTGTTGCTGTAATTACCTGCTCTTTGTGCATCACTGACAGATACCGTGTGTGAACAATGAAGTGTATTACGCAGTCTCATTGTCATCTTTTTTATGCTGTTACACAAAAGATGCTGTTGTTCTGCCATTTTTAGAAGCTGCTTATTATGATTTTATTTTGATATAGGTTACACTAAAATGTCAATTGTAGACGTGTACATGGCTTCTAGCTCACAATCTGAAGTGCTGCTGTATAAAGTTTAGAAATCAGTTATTCTTTCAGTAAAAATTAGTATTCAAGCAGTTATACTTTTGAAGTTTAAGTTTGTACTGTGCAGATTGGGGGTGTCCAAGCTTGGAGCTTGTCCAGAGCAAAAAAAGGTTACAGTTCTTTGGGTATTGAATATAATTTCAACACCTTCTGCAATGAAAAAAAAAAAAATTCTCATAAAGGATCAAAACTACAACAGTGTTTAACGCAATTCTTTAAGGAGAAAAAGGAGACGGAAAAGCAACTGTTATATCGGACCAGCATATTTTGTACTGTGGACCGCTGTCATATCTGTCTAACCACTAAACATTATTATCTGTAGAACTGAACACATTTGTTCCAACCACATTGTTATTACTATACCTATATCTTGAGTCATTTATATCTCTGTTACGACGTCTCTATTCTTATGCATTGTAATGTAATGTGTTTATTTTAATTTTTACATGCTGTATGCTGATTTTTATCATGTCTTTCTCTATTTTTGACTCTATTCTTTGCCTCTCTTCTTAGACTGATGCACAGAGCCAATATTCTAATAGAATATATATTTTTTTTTATTGTGCTTGTAAAGCCGCCTAGCTCCTGATTCCACAAAGTGAAACGTTCTTTTCATGTGGGCAATTCAGCGTTATGACTCTGGTTTTGCATGGTGTTATCACACAAATGAACATGACTTCAACAAGAGCTAGTATTTGTTTAGTTGAAATGATGGGATTGTCCAATGTTTTCCACCTAAGTGCCGATGGGAATACCACTGCCTTTTACCCTGCTACACCCCATATTGCGTCGCTTTGGAGGCATTTGCCAAGTGCTTCTGATGCCATAAAACTCCTCCACAACTTTCATCCTGCACAGGCTTTTGAAATCATTCACACAGGCGGCCCCAGTGCAACCTCCCCTTGAACCAATTCACAATAACTTGACACACTACAAGTCCCATTCTCAAGCCTTAATGAAAAATGATAGTGGTGCAAACACACACCCACAGCAGGCCTTCATCGAGGTCCAGTAAATGTTTTATCAGCATCACTTCTATTGTTTTGGCTGTGGTAATGGATAAGTCCAGAGGGAGGCTCTAGTGATCTCTGATGTTCTGCGATTGTGTGGTTATTCGCTTCCATTAGTCTCTGCAGTCATGTCTGTTAACATTCTGTCAAGTTACAGTAATATTAGGCTTTGATACACCTGTGATAATTACTATATCAGTCTATCTCTCACATTTAAAGGGGTCCTGGCAAATTCTGTAAATATGATTACAAATACCGGACTCAAACTGTACACTCGCAATACTACCTATATACTACAATACTAAAACCTGCTGAAGTGAGTATGTCAGTGGTAGGTAATAAGAAAAATGAACTATGTGAATTGAGATTTTGATCTGGCTTGAACACCATAATAAACGTCACCAATATCTAAAGTAGTATTCAAACTAATACAAAATTTGGTCAATTTAAGGAATCACTGACAGAGGAATCAACCAAATTCATTTTTACTTTTAGCGAACACACATAAATACACAGACACAGGATAGAAACTATAACTAAAATCTAGAAATTGGATACAATTTGACTTTCTTTGGTATCGTCAACTCTCAGTGTAGACAATTGAAACTACACAATGTCCTCAAAGATTAATTTTAAGAGATCTTCTATTTGTCCCACCGTGGGGGAAATGTCAGTGTTGCATCACCAGTTATAGAGCCGGAGGAAAAGGGGCACACAGCACAAAATACATTTTTATCATCCATCCATCCAATTGCGAGTTTCAATATCATCATTTATTGCAATACGTCTCTGCATCTGTAATTTCTCTATAAAGGTTGATTAGTTGATTTGAAAATTTATTATTTTGTCACTTCCTGTCTCGACTGGAAGTTAAGTGACTCGCGCTACATCAGGCAGAGACATTACAAACAAACAACTGTGGTTTTTAGTCAATGGTCTAAAAATAGTTAATACGGTATAAAATTAACAATCACAAATTTAAGCTACAGTTGAGATCGAGGGAACAAGGTTTGCATTGTTTTTATGTGTGTAAAAATGGTAAAGTTTGTTAAATATGTAAACTAATAGCAATTGTAATATAATGGTTAAAAATATGATTAACGCCAGATAGTATTTAGACATAATTGTAAGGTATTTTGTTTTTTCTCTTTTAGCTTTTATGTTGGTTATAGGACTAAATGGAGAGGACAAAATAAACTTAATTTAATCAGTTCTTGCTTCAACACGCATTCAACTGGACGCTGCATTCTCCATCAACTGTTTTTTTCTGTCGCCAGGCCTTGTCTAGGTGCTGTCTTTGTGTCTGATGTGGAAGATTGCATTGGCCCACAGTGCTTTCTCCTTCTCGGCATCCTTCCCCAGGAAATGCCTTTTTATACAAACAGGAAGGAGTTCATTTACCCCTTGGTTACCACTTCTTTGTTCTGATTGCATTAGCATGACTGGCCTGTGCACGTTTTTGGAGTGGACTCATTTCCTCTCTTCATAAGGAGAAGATTACAAACTTCTGTCATTAAAGGGTTAACTCAAAATTGAATGGACTCTTGCCTGGGAATTAACATGCCAAGGAATGAGAGGAATCTAATCAGCCTAACTGGAGCAGACTAATGGTTAACGTGTCCTCCTGCATTTGCCCCTTGAATCGGCACGGGCTATTTTAGCTCCTGCAAACACTCCCCCAATGATTAAATCTGTTAACATTGGCTTTTATAATGGAATTCTGTTTTTGTTTTTTTTTGGTCAAGGGCTGGTTCACTAAAAATGAAGTGGCAAGATCTTTTGGATATTAATCTTTTACGATTCTATTGGCCGCTGCAAACAGATTCTTTATCAGATATTTATAGAGTTGAAAGCACTTTATCTTGGCTTGAGAAGGACACTTTGTGGTAATTACTTGGCTAACAGCCTCAACCACAACAATTGCCTGTGCTTAATCCCGGTGCATAAAAAAGATGTGTTGTATTTCTTAATTAAATTCCAACAAGTTCAATCATTATGTGGGACCCAGAATAATCGTGCTGTTTCGCAGACATGTATTGACCTGTCGCACAAAGACTGCACATTATTTCTTTAAAGTTTATGAATGAATATAAGATGATTATTATCTTTAAATGAAAGTATTTTGCTCTAGGGGTTCAGTCTTCACTTTTACTCTTTTCTCTTTTGATTTCTTTGGAACTCAGCTTGGTACCTACATTATTTTTTAATATTCTCCACTTTACAATGTTGTTGTTGAATCATACTTTAGCACTTTTTACTATTATGCAGACTCTAAGTAATACTGCTAATAAAGTATAAACTCTTTGCCCAAAATGGTTTTATTCATCATTTTTGCGGCGATCCTTCCAATGTCAGCCTGAGCTAAAAAGGGCTCAAAAGTGGCCCGCTCTGACCACTTCACCAACACCACATCGTTAATGGGAGCCAGCCTTAATACTCTAAGTCTGTCTTTAATTACAGTTGAAGTTAAGGCCACAGTTTGTGTAATGCTTATTGACTTGTCCAGCTGAAGGGTTGCTTGGCGGTCAGTAGCGTGGCACGTGTTGGAGGACACACCCACATGTGCACGGAAATAGGCAGCAATTGTTGAACTGGTCTAACTGACTTATGGGCCGTAGCCGTTATGTGTTTGTATAGGAAAGATAATGGTCCACCTGTCTCTTATCTCCTCTGCACATACACACAGACAGCACAGGGAATTGCAAAAAAAAAAAACTGTATTTAACTCATTTGAAGTCTTAAATGACGTTTTTTGTTTGTGTGTTTTTGTGTTGAATGGGTGAGGGGCGTTTCAACCCTTTTCATAAACTGTTTGCAAAAAATTATTAAATAAAGTGTTTTTTATCTTAATTTGAGTTCATTCTGACTATTTTAAAACAAGATTTTCCAACAATTTGCCAACATGACTAGCCATTTTTATTTTAGTCAAATTTAGCCTTTAAGGAGGAATTTCTTATATCTTAATACAAAAATCCTTTTTCTTGTCCCATTGACAAATCTTGGAACATTTTGCCTTTCATTTCAATTCATTTAATCTCATTTCATCCCTTTATGATCCATTAGACCATAATCTTGGGACATTTGGCATATAGTGTTTTAGTACAGTCAAAACGTGCTCAAACATAACATTTTGCCAAATTTCAGCATAATTGGATTTTTTTTTTCTTACAGTGTGGGTTTTTTTATTCCTTAAAATTGTGTTGCATGTTTTGATATAAATATACATTTTCAACGGTTGAAATTTTGATATTTCTTTGTTTCAGGTTTGGACGACGGCTTGCAACAGTACATCAACAACTTTGAGCGGGAGAAGATCAGCGGTGAGCAGTTGTTGAAGATCACGCATCAGGACTTGGAGGAGCTGGGAGTCGCCCGGATCGGTCATCAAGAGCTGGTCCTGGAAGCTGTGGACCTTCTCTGTGCTCTGGTCAGGAGAAATCTACTCATCCTTTTCATAACCCTTACAGTATTGTTCAAAACACCCACTCGTAAGAAAATATTGAAGGGAATCTTTCAGTAGGCAGAAGAAACTGAACCAAGAAAACACGTATGTCCATGCTCCGTCTGAAAAAGAAACGTTTTCGCTCCAGCACATGGGATCAATTTGGACTTTTATCACTTCCTGAATCGTAAAAGTCCCAGATTGTGGTCCCGTCCATGTTTTGATCTATGTCAGCGTTTTTTGTCTTTACGCACTCTTAAAATTCTTTACGTTCATCTTCTAAGACAGGACTATTTTTACACCAAAGAAAAATTTTTATGCATGGAAAGAATATGCAATAAATGGCTTTGGTACTATTCCTACCCATACCTAAAGAGACAGCTCTGGAAAAATGGCTATAACTGTGTAAAAGTGTGGTCCTTTACAAAGGACAACTACAAAGGGTTTTATTCTGATTTCCCTGCAGGGTCAAAAGTACCAGAGGAAATGGCCCCACCAGTAGCACCCAAACCCTAACATCCTGTCCCACGACTGTTTTCTCTATCTCTGCTTTGTTATGTCAGAGACTTCCACTCGCTACACAAATACTTAGTAACTATTTTCTGAAATGTATGGAGCAATGGATGTATTTTGCCCTGAATATAGACAGTTCAGAAATTAGATCCTCTAGCTTTCAAAATGGCTGTTTTGGGGATAGAGAATGAACATTTCAATTAGTTTTACAGGACTCCTTTGAATGCAATGGCTTTTACAGAATGGAAAGCTTTTATTTGTTCTGAGACCCCAGTGCCAAGCTATAAGAACAAGAATATTAAGTTGTGTTTATTAGCCATTGAGTTGGAAAACAGCTGCTATGGTTTTGGAAGCAGCCTGAGTGAAAGCCTTGGAGCTTCATATTTGATAATGGACTATTTTTGTAACACCGCTTGTATACATTTTTGTCAGATGAGTAGTTTAAGTTTTAGGTCTTTATAACCTCCACTTTTTCATCAAGTTTAGGTTTTTGTGACCTGAAAGCCAAGGTCATTTACTTTTCAAATTGTACATATGGAGAGACGTTTTTTGAATACCTAGAATCATTTAGACCTGTTCCCATTGGTCAAACAAATGCTACTGGTGACGCCTATTCCAAGTGAAAGCACGGTTTAAATATATTCCTTTTGAAAAATACTTTAAACCTTGGATTATACTGCAGGACCACATAGTCAAAAATGTAATATTGTTTTATCTATTTTTGTTAAATCCAATCGAAGTGGCAGACCTCACCTTCAAGAAAGCATTATTGGATCATTTGTAACACGGCGGGAGACACTTGTTTTGGTTTTGTGAATAACCCATAAACGGCAGGAATGTCCAAAGTCTTTAAAGCACAAGAACGCAAACTTTGCTCCAACAGATAAAAAGGAAGTGATGGCAATGCACATTTTACAACACGCCCGTCTTCGCAAGCTGCGTTCACGAGGGGATTTTATGCCAGACCTCACCCAAAGAGGAATGTGACAGCATTGTACATAGGTTATCCTCAAGGTCTAAAGGGTAAAGCATTTATATTTGATGTGCGCCAATAATCAAACAATCAAGACGTGGTTTTCAGAACCTGCAAGATAAAGATTCCACCCTTATTCCTCTCCTCACCCATACAACTACATGCACTCATTTGATTCAGAAAAACTATCAAACATACAGTGGGGCAAAAAAGTATTTAGTCAGCCACCGATTGTGCAAGTTCTCCCACTTAAAATAATGACAGAGGTCTGTAATTTCCATCATAGGTACACTTCAACTGTGAGAGACAGAATGTGAAAAAAATCCAGGAATTCACATTGTAGGATTTTAAAAGAATTTATTTGTAAATTATGGTGGAAAATAAGTATTTGGTCACTTCAAACAAGGAAGATCTCTGGCTCTCACAGACATGTAGACCTGTCCTCCACTTGTTACCTGTATTAATGGCACCTGTTTGAACTCGTTCTCTGTATAAAAGACACCTGTCCACAGCCTCAAACAGTCAGACTCCAAACTCCACTATGGCCAAGACCAAAGGAAGGACACCAGGAAAATAATTGTAGACCTGTACCAGACTGGGAAGAGTGAATCTACAATAGGCAAGCAGCTTGGTGTGAACAAATCAACTGTGGGAGCAATTATCAGAAAATGAAAGACATACAAGATCACTGATAATCTCCCTCAATCGCAAGATCTCATCCCGTGGGGTCAAAATTATCATGAGAACGGTGATCAAAAATCCCAAAACACCACTGGGGGACTTGGTGAATGACCTGCAGAGAGCTGGGACCAAAGTAACAAAGGTCACCATCAGTAACACACTACGTCAACAGGTAATCAAATCCTGCAGTGCCAGACGTGTCCCCTGCTGAAGCCAGTGCATGTCCAGGCCGTCTGAAGTTTGCCAGAGAGCACATGGATGATACAGCAGAGGATTGGGAGAATGCCATGTGGTCAGATGAAACCAAAGTAGAACTGTTTGGTATAAACTCAACTCGTCGTGTTTGGAGGAAGAAGAATATTGAGTTGCATCCCAAGAACACCATACCTACTGTGAAGCATGGGGTGTGGAAACATCATGCTTTGGGGCTGTTTTTCTGCTAAGGGGACAGGACGACTGATCCGTGTTAAGGAAAGAATGAATGGGGCCATGTATCGTGAGATTTTGAGCCAAAACCTCCTTCCATCAGTGAGAGCTTTGAAGATGAAACGTGGCTGGGTCTTCCAGCATGACAATGATCCCAAACACACCGCCCGGGCAACGAAGGAGTGGCTCCGTAAGAAGCATTTGAAAGTCCTGGAGTGGCCTCTGTGGAGGGAGTTGACAGTCCGTGTTCACGGCTCTCGAGAAGATCTGCATGGAGGAATAGGCCAGCTACTGTGTGTGCAAACCTGGTAAAGACCTATAGTAATCATTTGACCTCTGTTATTGCCAACAAAGGTTATATTACCAAGTATTGAGTTGAAATTTTTATTGACCAAATACTTATTTTCCACCATAATTTACAAATACATTCTTTAAAAATCCTACAATGTGAATTCCTGGATTTTTTTTTCACATTCTGTTTCTCACAGTTGAAGTGTACCTATTATGAAAATTACAGACCTCTGTCATTATTTTAAGTGGGAGAACTTGCACAATTGGTGGCTGACTAAATACTTTTTTGTCCCACTGTATGTAATGATTTGTTAAAAAATACCTTTTGTAATGTGAATTAATACACAAACATAACCACAAATGTAAAAGGTAAGCAATAAACAAAACTTCTACAAGAACTGTATAATGTTCGAGCTTTCCTCTCCTTCTCTTCTTTAAATTTAAACCAATTACCATCAATGTTCATTGCGGCCCTATGAAATAACCTTGGCAAATATCATAAATGATTACTAGTGCATTAGCATTCGCCCCTACCCTGTTTTTTGCAGCCTAAAAATATGTAAAATCAGACATTCCCTCAGAAAACTCGTATCGATTCATATACATTTCTTAAAAAGAATGGTACAAACACATAACAGTATTTAATTCAATGACACACACGATTTTAAAGGCAATACACACACACACACACACACGCGAATAAAAAATAGGCCCAAACACTCCCTGACCTTTATATGGTATATTATAACATGCCACTTTCTCTGTTAATCTTGGTTTTCATCATAACTTTTTTCTATAGAGTTCAATCCAGCCCATAACAAAATGTAAACTTTTTATATGTTCACATGCATGCTTGATGTATGCTTTTCAGAATTATGGCGTGGAGACGGACAACCTGAAGAACTTGGTCATGAGGATGCGAGCTGCCACCAATAGCCTTCACATGGCCACGTCAGATCGTAGGAAAAGCCCGGCTTATGATGGCACCAATCCACGCAAACCACCAAATGACTTTCTCACTTCTGTGGTGGAGCTGATCGGGGCTGCTAAGAGTCTGCTGGCATGGCTTGACAGGTGATCAAATGTAGCGACTAATTTGCAGCTTGGGGAGATATGACTGAAACCATCTGGGGAAACGTATATAATCTATAAAAGCAATATTAGGTAATGATTCTTGAGATTAAGTTTTGTGTGGTTAAGTACTTTGGTATTCATGATGTCAGAAGTGAAAAATAGACTTCTTATGTAAGCTGTCTGAACATATAACTGCTTTGAATATTTTCTACTTTTTACTCTATGCTTTTGAGAGATCTGTTTCTCCTTTCTTATATAATCTTTCCAAGTTGTTATTAGATTCAACCACAAACCGAAAAATGTCAGAAATGCAGCTGTGGGTTATGGCAGTAGCATGATGGAGGCGTTGCAACACTTACGATGCTGAGTCTAAGCAAAAGTGTGGTCTGTCGCCGTTGAATAAGGATTGTTCTCAACACCAGAGATGAAAAATGCTGATATAATCCACCTGCTTGACCTGACTCTCTGCCCCTACAGGACGCCCCTGAGTGGAATCAGTGACTTCACCTCCACCAAAAACCAAATCATTCAGTTGTGCCTGGAGCTGACAACCACAGTTCAACAGGTTTGTTCAAACTCACGATCCTGCTGGTTTGTAAACTGAACACACCAGGGGGTGAATTGTTTGCATGAAATATGTTATAGATCTGTATTTCTTTAGCCTGATCTTAGCTATTCCCACCGCCCATTCAGGGAGCGGAGGAGGCGTGGGTTGTAGGTAGGTATCGGGGAATGCGATAGTAAAGTAATACGTAATAAGCTCCAAATATCAAGAAATTAAAGCTGGAGCAAGAGGAAAGTTTAGCGAATTTCATTGCTGTCAAATATGCTGTGGCTCTACTCCCCACCGGCTCCGCTAGTGGCTTCGGGGGTCTGGCTCTTGGATCCGGTGGGGGTCTGGGGCCTCCTCTCTCCTCTGGGTCCTATGGGGTCTGAGTCCTGGGCCTGGTGGGGTCTGGGGCCCCTCTCTCCTCTGGGTCCTGTGTCGTTCCCTGTGGCTGCAGCCGGCTCTCTGCTCCTGGTGCAGATGGCTCCTTGGATGACGCTTCTTCAGCCGGTTACATCTGCTCCCAGCCCCATGTCTTTTTTATTGTTTTACCTATTTTACCTGATATAACTTTATACTTGTGTGTGTGTGTGTGTGTGTGTATATGTGTCTGTGTGTGTGTATATGTGTGTGTGTGTATACGCATGTGGTTGTATATATAATTATAAATGTGGTTTTGGGGGGTCTGTGGGGAGGAGGGTTTAGGGCTGGGCATGTTGGATTGTTTTTAACTAAACTGTAAAGCACTTTGTGTTACACTTTTTGTATGAAAAGCGCTTTATAAATAACATTTGATTGATTGATTGAAAGGAGATGGCTAAAGCTAGGTTAAATGCTAAATGCCTCACTCACTCAGGCGCAATACATACGTCACGGTAAACTCTGATCCAATCGTTTCAATCTGCTAAAGGAGTTAACCCCTCCTACCTGTTAACGGAGCTCGAGTACGAAATAGAATTAGTACAATGGTGTGGTAAGACCAGGCTTGCATTTTTTGAACTGTGGTAGGAATCCTGCAGACCTCAATACTTTGTCCCATACCGTCACGCTGCTAACGTGTACAGATGTATACACAACTATATATTGCTTGCACTAGAATACACAATACTTTATTCTTGCTTCTTAATCCGCTACGGATATAGATTTTATACTTCTCTATTATTCTGAAGTTAGAGTCTTAAAATAGTCCAACGTTTAGCTCCAAACTATAAATACTATCTGCATTTGATTGAGAATGTTCCCTTCACCCTACTTTTTCCCAGTTCCATGTTCTTCTGTTTGTACCAAATATTAAAATACGGTAAAAGCTGTGAGACAAAATGGTTTCTTGGGGAAGTTCAAGATCTGCTTGTTTATAGAGAAGTTATAGTTTATTCATCAACAAATAGAGATATTTTGCATATCATTCCATGCAGCGTTTGTGAAAGGGCAACACAAGCACAAATCAATTAGACTCAAAAGTTATTGGAAGTGTTTTGGCAGCCATCACTGTAGTCTGAAGGCACTTGTTTACGCACAAAGCCGGAGTTTAACTTGGGTGTTTTCTGCCTCTTCCTGCTAATGAGGAGACCCCTCTGTGGGGACCCTGTGATGGTAAACACGCCTTTGTCTGTAAAATCCTCTTGGGCGCTTTTAAAGGCTGGCTCCCAACGCTCTCCAGACTGGCGGCTCCCTCTTGCTGCTTTCTTCCTGTGATCTTTCTCAATGTGCTCTGAGAGGACATGCTAGCACTTCCTGCGCGTAAACCTAAACACTGGGGATAATATTTTCCCATCTTTGGATAATGCTAACAGTTAAAGCAGAACATTTACCATTTCATCCAAATCCTAGTATTTCCTCACTGGATTTCTCAAGCATTGCCTCAGTACACAGCTGCAGTCTACCTCATAAACCATTCTCAAACAGCCACAGTAGACTCCAGCTCAGATGTCAAACAAAAGAAGCCTGGTTTGGATTTTGTATCTTTCTGTAATATATCACCATACGTATAGTCTACTTCTCTTAAAAGAAACCTATCTTACAAAATCAACTTTTATGAACTCTAACCCTCATCAAAAACACACATGGAGTTGTTTTTTAGATGTCCAGGCCAATATCAGAAACTTCTAGGACAAACACGTGACTGCCTCTTCTGTCGAAAAGCTCCTGTCTCAGTCCTTTAACAGTATGAAGTCATCAGACCACGATGACATCACACTAGTACTCTGCCTTTTAAAACAAAAGTATTGCCCATAAATTAGTCAAATTTGTCAATATCTTGAGTCAAATGACATTCTTGGTAGGAGCTGTGTTCTGTCCTGTCTGGTGCACACTGGGGTAGTCTTGCATGGGTTTTCCAATATGGGTTTACTGCAAATGGCAAATTAATGATTGAATCTTTACATTGACATGACAGTTGATGCAGCCAGTTTTTTTTTTAATTTGGAAAGAAACAAAATACATGTCACACCATCTCACGCTGTTAGTAGCACAGGATTATGTCAAACCAACAGCGCTATTTGCCCTTGAATCTTGATTCACCAATTCTTTTCTACTTTGTTCCATACTCTAAAACATGAAATGACTAGGCAAATGGTCTCAACTTAATATTTCAAGTAAGCATCGGTTGATAAGTAAGTCATTTTACACTCTGCTTAGGGACCAGGTGGTACTTTTAAGGAGGCTATTGCATCTAAACACACTCAGTTCCCAGAGTGGACATTTCCTGACTGGTGTATGAGGTTTCAGTCGCTGTGCTGATTTACCACGGGTGCCTCGGTCATGGTCATCCAGAGAAAGTGGGGGGATACACTTTTCCCACACTGCCATCTGACATACAGGGGTTAGGGTGTAAAAGCAACTGTGATAGGTGATGAAACACGCCTTGTAGGACATGAGTAATGTGGCCTAACAGCTGGAGGAGGTGAGAGCTGCACTTTTGCATCTTTTACAACACTACAGGCTTCAGAATTGTGTATTTAATCATCGGGAAAATAACAAAATTCTTGCATATGCGACAATAGCGAGTCCGCACAGCCCTGATAATCAAGGCCATCTTTTTCATGAACTTCATCCAGCAATAAGAGCTTTTCACGTTGCTAAATATATGGCTCCTGACTGCGTATACTTACAATGGGGCAGTCATAAAACCTGAAAGTCCCTGCCCATCGCTTATGTTGCAGAGGTCAGAAGCCCATTCCCATTGTTTGACCTTCATTTTTCCATCCAAAGCAAAAAGTGCGACCACATGTGTTATTTGAATAGCCATACAATATTGCACTAAAGCTGGAATAATCAAGCCCTTTTTGAGAATGTTTGTAGATGTTGCAGTTTTTCACCAGAGAACATATTGCGTAAGAAGCACTTGATAAAGAAATGTTATGTCTCGTCAAGGTGAAAGTAGCAGCCAATGCCATCGCTCTGACGGCATTGGCTGTACTTGAGCAAGTCTGAAAATGGTGATATACAAAACTCTTGATAATTATAATGCGTTTTATTGGGAGTTTTTGATAAGATGAGCGAACCTTTATTCGTCCCACAGTGGAGAAATGTCCATGTTGCAGCGCACATGCAGGACAACAGTAAGACCACAGAAAATATACAAAATAAGTAGTTGATATGTTTCTAGATTTATTGGTTTTAATTTGGTCATCACATTAAAATAAAAGTTATAGATTAGGTATAGATGCTTCAATGTCAAATATAACAATATCTCTCTCTATATTTATAGTATAAAGTTATATACATATTGGGCAGGATAAATAGTAGTCATGAACAAAGTACCAAATGAATGACTATTGTGACTTCAGATGACTTTTCCTGATGCAGACTGCAGGACCTATTGTGGATTTTCACTGTCACTTTATGGGGCTGAGGTGGCTGTAGGCCTTAGGTGCAGGCTTGTGCTTAGTCCCTACATACTCTCAGTTGGCCACTTCATTGCTCAACCATGCAAATCTGCCCTGGTGGCGGATCAAAGGCGCAGTGAGCTGCCGTAGACAGTCATCTGATCCAGGCCGGCTGTGGGATCAAGTTCATAATGTGAGGGATTAGCACACATGGGGAATTGTCTATCAGACTCTCTGCTTTTAGTTGTGATTTGGAACCAGTCCACGGTGGGGCCAAGTGTTTTGACCAACAAATGCTAAGAGGATTATGTCCATGTGAGTAGAATAAAGAGCAAAACCTTGGCTATGTCAAAAGTGCATGATTAGAACTTGTTTTATTTACAACATTCATGGATTATTTATAGCTCATTCCTTGGCTAATGGAAAGATGTGGTCTGCCAAATCAGAACAATGAAAAATATGTTCAGATGTGCATTAAAGGATATGCTTATGTTTGCTGACATGGTGTTTTTCTAGTCCTTGGCTTTTACAAGTCAATATTTGGAAAATGTATTGTTTTTGTCTACTCTACAGTGCTGTAGCCTTTGCTTTAGGGCGCAGACAGACAAATCTCACTGCTGCTCTGCAAACAAATATTGTGGACAGGCATATTGTAAAAAAAGACACTCCCAGTATCCTGACAAAATACGAGCTATAGAAAACTGGTTCAGTCTTTATTATCTGGCAGCTCCTTTAGTTTGAGCACAAAGTTGTTTTTCTCCAGGGCACAGGCCTGTACATGTCACCAGTCACAGCGAGTCCAACACAGACGTTCTATTTTGACTTTGACACGGTCTTTGAGCCTCCAATGGTGGACCAGAACGAGACCATTCTCCTCTGTTCTTTCTTTTAGTGACACGAGTGTTCTACATATGTTTTGATGGATGACCTCCCTCAGGGCGAGAATAGAGACATTCCCATAAACAGTGCACCCCTGTAGTATGGAGCCCTTTCACTGACAACAGTTGTCAGTGGAGGCTGTTGGCTCAGCTGTGTCCGCTCCAGCACTGCTCTGGACACTTGCACTGGACAGTAGTCACGTGCTGAATCAACACTTTTCATTTGTTCTTTTGCCCTTGTGTGTTACAATACTCTGAGTCACACTTTAGCACTTTAAATCTCTGCTGGGATTTGATTATCAATATACAGTCAAACTGTTGTCTCCTACTTTCATTTTCATTTTCACATTGTTTTAATTTTATTCTGGTCTATCTGGTATTTAGATTATACAGTTGGTGACACACTTCATCGACGGGGTAACTCAAAGGGCTTCACATAAAAAAAGGGAGAAAGAATCATAGATAATCACACAAAAGACATGGTTTTAAAATGTTCAATCATTCAAAAGTTGTTTGTAAAGCACATTTGAAAATAGCCTAGGCTTAAAGATACTGTATATAGGAGGATCTTCCAACATATCAGGAAAGAACCGCCCTCGCCACTTTTGGAACAAAGCGCTCTGGTCTTCTTTGACAAGCACGTGTCCCACAATGATTGACAATTAGCTGGACCTAATTGTGGACCTGTTTTTGATGATCCACCTGGAAGTAGAAAATCCTCCTAAATACTTTTAAGATAACAAGTGAGAAACAGAAACAATATTGTGCTATATACAGTATACAGTATCAGCTAATATGGATAGTATTTATTTATCTTTTGTTTACGGAGAGTGTTTGTGTCTTGTTTTGTCTCATTCCATATGTGTTATTAGTGTAGTGTATTGCATTGTATTACTCTTTGTACAATATTGCACTGTTAATGTATTTTGCTGAGTGGCACTGATGATATTGTATTGTATGGTTTTGTCCGGTGTTGAATGGGTGAGAGGGTGTTGGAATAATACAAGCGTCTGCGCCATCCCTCCCCGTTTAAAATGGCAGAGTTTGTAGATATGCAGGCTGTGTTGGGTAGATTTTAAAATAAATAATTCATTCATTGTTTAATTTTTTTATGTTTCAGGACTGCAGTGTTTTTGACATGGAAGAAAAGATCCTCGGAGTTGTAAGTACATCCTATGTCTTCATTTACAGCTCCCACTTGTCTCAGATTAAACTAAATCTTTTAGCACTTTTAGCTTTATCAATTTGTCTTTTGTTGATTATGAAATGTGTGTTGAATTGTGATTCCCATGAGCTGGTGTTTGTACTTGCCTTTTTATCAGCTGCTGTGTTCTGCTGCTGGGATGATGCAGACCTCTTAAGCCAGGGGTCTCCAACCTTTTTCCTACAGTGAGCTACTTTTAGAAGAGCAAAACAGCAGAGAGCTACTCATGTTTCGCAACATTTATTTCAAAGCTTATTCATCCAAAATGAAAATATAAATGTATATTACCTGAACATTTTATTACATTTTGCATCATAAAAGAGCAAGTTTGAACAAAAAATATATTTTTAAATGCCATTCTATGACATTTTTATTTTGTTAACTATGCACACACACGCACACACACACACACACACACACACACACACACACACACTCATTGACACAGTACACATATTTAGTGAGATGCCTGACACTGCATTGAAGAAACAAGCGAAGTGTAATGTGGAGTGTAGCCACTTAAGTTGACACGGATACAAGCAGTTAAATGTTCATCAGAAAGTCTCGTCCTGAACTTTGACTTAATAACATTCATGTCAGAAAAGGCTGACTCACAAAGGTAAGTAGACCCAAACAATGCATACATTTTTAGCGCTACCTGGTTAAGATTCTTATAGTTATCTGGCCCTACAAGACTCCAGAAATGGGAGGACTGTTGTTGAGACTTGAGCTGCACATTATTTTGAATGTTAATGATTTCCATTTCAGTTTCCATTGGATCAACACAGAAAAGTTCACCCATCTGACCTGATATCTCACTTATGTCCACATCCATAAATGGGTTTGCCATAAATATCACACAAGGCTCAAGTTTGTCAAAATCACCAAACCGGTCAGAAAACTCCTGTCCAAGCCTTGCCAGTAGATCACAGTACTTGATAACATTCAAAACACTGGCTGCATCTGCGTTACTCTCACACATCTTTGTTACAGAGGGGAAATGCTGCAACCTTTGGTTTCTCACTTGCTTAATGTAAAATGAGAGCTTTGCATTGAACGCCCTGACAGCACTGATCATATCAGACACACGTTTATCCTTGCCCTGCAACTGCTGGTTTAGCTGGTTGTTTTTTTCAGTCACGTCAGTCAGAAAAGCAAGATCAAGAAGCCACTCAGCATCATTTAAAAGGGAGATGTCCTCTCCCCTACTTTCCATAAAAGTCTTAATTTCACCAAGCAAGGAGAGAAAGCGCTGCAGTATCTTACCGCGACTCAGCCACCTGATGTCCGTGTGAAGGAGGAGATCCCCATACTCCGCTGCGCATTCCTCGAGAAACACCTTGAAGCACCTGTGCTGCTTTGCCTTTGCCCGGATGGAGTTGATTATCTTGACAACCGGTCCCATGATATGATTAAAATCCAGAACTTTGGCGCAAATAGCTTGTTGATGTATGATGCAGTGATAGTTAAGAATCTTGGGAAAGTCCGGGTCCTTTTTACAGTGAGCAATAAATCCAGAATGACGGCCCGTCATAGCAGGCGCGCCGTCTGTTGTTATGGACACCAGCTTTTCAATGGGCACCTTTTTGTCCACAAAATAGCCCTTCACTACATTGTAAATATCAACTCCTCTGGTGGTAGTTTTTAGTGGAAGCAGAGTCAAAAACTCTTCTTTGGTTGAAAAGTCCTCGAAGACCATACGAACGAAAACAGCTAGCTGGGCTGTATCGCTGGCATCCACCGACTCATCACATTGAATTGAGAACCATTTACACCTCTGAATGTCCGAATCCAGCTGTCCCACAGCGTCCTCAGACAGTGCAGTCACTCTCCTGGCCACAGTGTTTGCTCCCAGTTGCACATCACCGATAGCAGACATAATCTCTGTCTTACTTTTATGATCCACGAACAGTGTCTCGGCCGCCGCGGTCATAGCCTCCTTCACAACGGCACCGTCGGTAAAGGGCTTTTTGTGCTTAGCTAGTATGTGCGCTACTTTAAAAGATGCCTCCGTGGCTGCATTTGCCTTCTTCGTAGGTTTGGTGAACAAACATTGTTGTCTCTGGAGGGCAGATTTTAGCTCCTTTATCTTCTCCTTTCGTAAGTTTGTGCCCATGGGAAAGTCGCGCGAAAAGTTTCCGTGGATTGTGGTAAAATGGCGCTCCACATTGCTTCGCTTGCCGACTGACACGCTGGCACCACAGATCAGACACACGCACTTGTCGTTGACATTTGTGAAGCAAAATTCTGTCTCCCATTCTTGGTGAAAGTTGTATGATTTTCGCTTCTTAGCGGCGCTCATGATGGCAGCGGAGCAACAGCGGTAGTTCAGTGACACATCAAGCTTGACTGCAGGAGCACGTTGATTGACGGTGAATTGGCTAATTGGAAGTTTGTACATACAAAAGGGGCGGGATTAACGAGATAGTAAGGTTTTTTCATTGGATAGATGCATGAGGTATGTAGCAGTGCATTTGCCAGCATGAAATCACACTTAACTGTTAAATTTAGATCAGGTTCAGAAATCTTTACGCGAGCTACTCAAAAGTGCGCCGCGAGCTACCGGTAGCTCGCGAGCTACCGGTTGGAGATGCCTGTCTTAAGCTAACACTTTCCAAGCATCTTTTCACACATTGTCCCTATATTGTCAGAATTGTATGTTTTTCTAATTTTTCAAAAACCCCAACAATCTCATTCGGCCTTTAGTGTACTTCTGTACTTGAACCTTTTTTTAACCTTTTTTAATGTTCAATCTTTAGACTGGAGGTGCCAGCTCGGTGCATATTGGGAGGAAGCGTCACAGCGCTGTCTCTAATTTGGACAAATGACTGTTTTCTGCCACAAAACACACATTAGTGGCCGGAACGCTCACTGTGTAAACCATCTCCTGTGTGTTTTGAGGGCACACATCCAGTTAATAGACATTATCAGCTCCTTTTACCCCTTTAAACACCATGAACAAAGAACGTGACATGATATAATTTGCACTGATTGAGATGTAAATGTGTTTATTTCATTTTTATTGCACATTTCATGAACAGAATAGTTTCCAAAGTGCTGTACAGGAAGCACAAAAGCAGCTACAGACTTCACTAGTAAAAAATGCCATAACAGTCTTTACTAGTTTAAAAGAGATCAATTACGTGAGGAATTTCTGGCACAAACATGATTAAGATTAAGAAATCCTTTATTCGTCCCACGGTGGGGAAATTTCACTATTGCATCACAAGTTATAGAACAGTAGGAAAGAGACACAGCAAAAGGTCAGTGAGCAATAGCTACACTAATTCAAATAAAACAAAATCTAGTCTAAAACATGAAATGGCAAAGGAAATCTCAAAAGTTAATGCAAGTTGAAGCAATGTGTTTTATTTGTTTTTTCTTCAGTACATTCAAAGAAGAGCATAGATAAGACCATACAAGACAAAGAACTCTGCATGGGGGAGCTGGGGGGGAATCGCTTTTAATCATTTTTGTGTTGTCTTTTCATAGTCAAAGATTCTAAACAACATCTGCGACCAAACCGTGAGAACCACGTCAGACCCCCTGATGAGCCAGTCTGCCTGCTTGGAGGAGGTTCAGCTGACCAACATCAACCCCGGAGAGGGTCTGGTAAGGAATGCTTGGACTTTTTTCTTTTTCTCTTCTCCCCATTCCCCCCCTGAACTGCATGTCTGCCTACTGTGTGCTCCCAAGCCAGGAATGTTGGAAATGTGTGTCCAATTGTGTCCATTTCATTTGTCAAGCCTGTCTGAATTACAATAGCAAGAAATGATGTCATATTGGTTTTTATTTTCCTCGTAGGGTATGTACATAAAGTCTACCTACGACGGACTGCATGTCATCACTGGGACCACGGAGCATGTAAGTGTGAATTTTGACTCAAATTCTGAAGTTTGCTTATTTTGCACCCACACAAAATTAATCCAACAGTGACAATTGTTTTGTTGGAGCCCACAAGCAGCCTCCACATAAAATTCTTATCTTTTCCCACACTGACACGAGCTGTGAGTAATGTGCCTACATCAAAACCACGATTTGAACGCTGACGCCTCCAGTCCGTGAAGTGAATCAGTGCTTGAATCATCAATAATAACTAGATAGTGCCTTTTGACTTTAACATTAGTATTGTGACTACATCTGTTATGGTTTCAAAGGCTACACAGAATGTCTCCAATTTCTAAAATGTTTTGAATCTGTTACTGTATCATTTGTGCTTGAATGTTTACATACTCAGCCATGGATTTCTTGGTTATACAGTGTATTGACGATTATGAATGATAAATGTTTTGTTTCCCCTTATTGTTAATGGTTGTTTGATGCCATTTAGAAAGTAAACATTTAAACAAGTGAACAAGTTTTCTAGGTTTAGCATAATTGAGCCTATCTGCGGAGGAAGCTCAAATGTGCAGTTCATGAGGAATTTAAAGGAACTGGATCCTTTTTGCCCAGAAGAATGGGCAGCTTTACCGTCAGAGAGGATAAAAGAGCCTCATCCACATCTACCTCAAAAGACTCCAAGCTGTCATAGATGTTAAACAAGAAATACACTATTGAGGACTGGGGGATGGAAACTTCTGATCAGGGTCAGAAGAGGAGTTTTAGTTGTCATTATGAAATGCGTCTATTCGGTAACAAATGGCTTCAGATAACCACCAACAGTGAGTGGTAAAAAGTGTCTGCGTTATCAATGATCCATATCAATTTTTCATTCATAATTTCCAAAATATGGCCACACATATTTCTTGCTGGTATGTAAACTTTGTCATGTAAACAACTGTATTCAGATTCATTTTATTTGACATTTGCAGTAAAACCACATTGGAATACATTTGCAAAAGTCCCCAGTGTGCACCAGACAAGTACAGAAATAAAACATGGTTAAAAGTACAGAAAAAAAAACAATGTATGTTTTGTAGGTACATTTTCAGCCACTTACGATGATTTCTGAAGGTTTCATTCTGCTTCAATGAAACAATTCTGCTCCAATCTCATATCTGTGTGTCTTTCTCTCAACAGTCACCCGCAGACTTGAGCCGTAAAATCCATGCCGGTGACGAAGTGATCCAAGTAAATCAACAAACAGTGGTGAGACTTTCATTTCCCACCTTCGTCATCCACGTTTACGACCGATCGCTGCGTCTGTCACTATCTGCTAATCGCACAAGCATCCAGCCGCGTTCTGAAGTGAGTCACGTTCTCTTTCAGGTGGGCTGGCAGCTGAAGAACCTCGTCATGAAACTGAGGGAGGACCCTAAAGGAGTGGTGCTGCTGCTGAAGAAGAGACCTACAGGGACGTCAGGCTTCACCCCGGCCCCTCTCAAGAACATGCGCTGGAAGCCCCCTGTGCCGCAGGTAGTCAACAGGTCCCGGAGACTGGAGCTGCTTTCATGTGGAGAAGGCTGCAAAGCTTGTATGTCTAGTCATTAAAGAGCAATTACTACAGGTTTAGGGAGTTGGTTCCAGCAGGACAGGCTGAGGCAAGTGTTGTGCAGGAGCCACCCATCGGCAAAGTTTGTTTATGAGCCGGGATGTACAGTGCTGCTCAACAGTTAGAACTACGGATCAATGCACATAATGTCGTAAGATACTTGTTATAGCCAGTGCATATATTTATTTATCAACATATTTATAAAATCGGTAATAATTTGTGGTGTCAAAACATGGTGTATGTGTCAAAAATTTAGGCAAATTTAAATATTATTTTGGAATGTAATCTTTAAGGCTGGGTTACATTACTTTAAAATAACAAAACCATTAAAATCTTAAAACAGTTTGGTTCTATCACCACTTGAGAGGACAATCATCAATCACAAGTCTCAAATCAGTTCTGCATTATGATTACTTACAATGATTTTTTTTTTCCTTTGCGACAAACATGTCAAATTTATGTACCCCAGCTTTGAATCATAATTTTAAAGCTGCCGTTTGGATTCCTCCACTTGAACTGCTAAGCATTTATCTTGCAATATGTAAGAATGTAGCAAAATTAAATAGTTGTTCCGGTGCCAGATAATTTTAAATCTATACAAAAAGAAATGATGAATTCATTCACATTAAGTTAGTTGAAAATGTGCTCAAACTTTGTGCTCTTCTCGTCCATGTGAACCACGGCCTCCTGGGACTTCTGTCTCAGTCCTTCTATATTAGCCTGGAAGACAATAGAGCTCTTGTAGACTAAAGTTAAAGGCTCCAACGTTGTATTTGTGTATCCTGAGACGGCAAGATGAGCCATTATCAGATTAGCGGGTTTCTCAAAACAACAAAGTCACTCACAACAAAAAAGAGGGCAATGTCATCTTAACTTCCACTATCTAGTGTTGGATATCACAGGCCGACATCTCAGTTTATGTTCAATAAAAAAGAGCAGATTTACAAGTTCTAACACACACATGTTCAGAATGTTATCTAGAATTAGTCAGTCAATTGTTGAATAAAATACTTTCTTTAATATCTGTTCAATTACATTTTGGAAAAACAAGTAAAATGTGTATTCTTTCAAGTACAGGAGAAACAGTTTCTCATTTCAAATGAGAATTATTATTATTATAATGAGACTATTTTCTTTGTCATTTAATTTTTTAGAATGTAAAATTCATCAGTAGAAAATGTTTGGTGAACCGTTTATCAAGAGTAAATAATACTATCAACCAGTGCTATCTCTATGCTACCACCACAGGAAGGTGTAGAATTTTTTTTATTTTTTTTTATTTGAAAATTACTGGTTGCAACCACAGCCATGTGGTTGAAAAAAATATAATTTCACCTAGAAATTGCCTCAGACTAAAAACAAATTTTCGGGCAATATTGTTTGTAAAGGCCTAAAACACGATCAAATGGACCTCCATCCATCCATTTTCTTCCCCTTAATCCATTTCTGGGTTGGGGGGGTGGCAGTCAGCGCTGCACCCAGTACACATAGCACCAGCCCCTCACTGATCCTCCTGCAGGTGGTGAGTCCACAGGAGCTGAGATCTTTCTTTCTTTGGACCTCATTCAAACCAAATTATGACTAATATTTATATATTTATATAATTAAAAGTTCTGTTTATTTACTCTAAAATATTAATTGTACCTGAAATAGAAATTGTACTTGATCTATTAAATCTTCGAAGCGGTGATGTGTTGCACATCCAACATATTCAGCCTTTGGGAAAAAGAAGTGGAGGAGCCCTGACATTGGGGGTTCTTTCAGCGCTTGGTTTCACATTAAACATAGCATTTAGCTCTAATGCGATTGCCAACAAGTACAAGCTGTATATTTTTGTCAAGGACACAGTGTTGTTTAGTGTTGGTGAAACATAACTGTGGTGACTGGGGAACGTTTTAACTACATGTTTGGCCCGATATTTTCAGGCACACTTTCACTTTTTCCATACCTCAAACAAGAAGCTTTATACATGCATTTAAACGTCTCACCACAACTCCTCCCAGCCCCAGAGCAGCCAGCTTTATAGCGATAATTCACGTGTCTCAAAAGAGCCTTGATTTGCTCAGGGTGGTGCTGTTAAATATAAACGCTGATGTTTTTGTTTTCCAGAATAATACGGCTCTAATCAGAGGCCAGTCCCCGTGTAACTCTGCCAACGGATCGGCCAAAAAGGAGAAGCCTGCCATTTTGGATCTGTACATTCCCCCGCCTCCTCAAGTGCCATACAGCCCCAGGTAAACCACGATTGATTATGTTTTAGTTTAGACTGGTGGGAGGGAGAACCTTATCCGAGCCATTTATTCAAAGTTTCAAAGAGGTCAGAGGGCTTGCACCACCCGCTGTGCTTATAATGCTTAACCTTTGACACATGTCTCCACCTAGGCCTTTGAGGTGTGGAGAAGGAAAGAGAACTTTTAGTGGCCTCTAAAAAGATGTTTTATAATAATAATAATAATAATATTTTTTACAGACTCAAGGTTCATATAAAAGACAATACAAAGACATCTCAAGACAAATACATAAAAAGAAAAAGAAACAAAGTCTAATGACTCATTTAAAAAGACGTGTTCCCAGCACTGAGATATGCAGTGTTGAGCTGGGCTGTTTTAAAAGCATCCTCAGAGGGTCATTGAATGCTACCTGCAGTTTCTGGAGACTATGTGGTTATGGTTCAGCCACAGATGTGCCGTGTATGAAGGAGAACAATAGGCTTTAAATAAAGTGAACTTCACCTTAACAGTGCAGCAACCAAATCTAAGAATCAAAGCATTAGCCGTTACATACAGACACAGCACTGCTACTGTATCTGTATGTACACTAACCCTAACCCTCTGTCAGCCGATCTGACCAAGACGTTTCATTTCACTGCAGATATTAAGATATATTAGCAGCGAGTTGAAAAGCCGGAAAGGTTTCATCATAATGGCACTTTTGGATTTGGAATCATTGATCATCACTTTAATTTAGGATTAATGTCTTTATGTTATCTCTACAGATAATCAGTTTGGTTTTAAACCAATCTAGGAGTATTTGTTCCATGACTTTTGCTAAAATGTCCGCTAGAGCTACAAGTCTAGAGTTGTCTGAGAAGTCCACTTTTCCTGGTAGATAGCTGTGGATCATAAAGGCAGTGAAACATAGTGCAAGTAACGTGCACAACCATCTTGCATGTTTGAGATGTTCAGCCGAGATAGAACCCGGTCCAATTAATTTATTAGCTGCCAATTACGTAATCACATTAGAAACCTCAGAGCGTATGATTACATGTTGTAGAGTAACAAGTGTGTTTCCATCTGAAGCTCTTTTTGTTTCTGTGTAGGTTACATTTGCTGAAATCCTTACACATTGTTTCTTCCTCCACACAGAGAGAACAGAGTGGACACTTTCTCCAGCATCACGAAGAGACCAAAGGGCTCTGAGTCACCAAATTCGTATTTAGACCAAGAAGGCAAAACGCTTTACAGTTTGGGAGAATATGACAAGTTAAGCGTGCCCATAGAGGCTAAAGTAGTGCAGCCAAGACGCCGGGAGCACAAACCATCAAGAGGTTCGTTTCTTTATACCAGACACATTACCAGACACATTTTGGGGATAAAGTTATTTAATGTGGATCTGTTTTAGGCAAGCCGAGGCCTCTCTCCATGCCTGTAGATACTTGTGTTGGGCTGTATGATCCTTATGCTAAACCATGGGCTCAAGGAAGAAAAGGTATGTTTTTCTTTTTTGTTTTAAAGATGCATTCCTCAACTGTCCTAGTCCACTTTTGTTGTTGTTTTGCCTGGATATTTATACAGTCTTTAAATTGTCATTAAACTAGAATTTGAGGTGTGCTCAAAAAAAAAATATTTTAGATAAATATTGGACAGAAAGTTTCCATTTTCTTTTCCTTTGCATTTTTTTCCCCACTATTATTATTATTATTTCATCTTTGTTTTTTTCATACATATACTGTATTGTATCATATTGTTTAGAATTGTTTGTAATCAAATTGAATGTCCCCATTATATGTATTGTATCTGAAGGCTCTGAAAGATACAGCCCTACTTACATTGAAAGTTTCAACCTTCACTCGGGGTCAATAACTTAATGTATCTCTGAAGAGGCAGAGTAGAAACTGTCAAAATGAATCCACAATTGAGGAATGTGCATGTCTTAAACCAAACTGGGCGACATTCAAAGCAAAGCAATAACATCAATCGCAGGAAGCAAGTATCTTCACAAAAGCGGCTAACCTCCAGGACAGTTGAGGAACAAAATGACTGATATCTTCTGTATATTCCAAGTTATTTATGACTTTCCCCCCTGTCAAATGTGAAGATCTACTCTACAGATACCTCAGCAACGAACGGATCCCCACCATCGCGGAGGAGGTGCCGTCCCTGTCGCCGTCCTACAGGCCGACGGGGGATCGACAGCTGGTCAGAGTGGACCATATCAGGGGCAGCCGCTACTACTCCAACTCAGACCTGCACAACAGCGCCACCATCCCCTATCAGGAGGACATCAAAAAAGCCCCCGTTACTCAGGTCTCTAAGCGCACCACAGCAGATCGCTCACTTCTGGTCAGTTGGATCACGCGGCTTAAGCTATTGACTCACTGACGATGCACTTCCTGTCCGGGGCCTTCCTGTTCCTGTCTTGTGTCTTCCTCAGTGCCTTCTATTAAAATACATGGAGCTGTATTTTAGCAGCTATGGGCTTTCTCACACTTCTGTCTCACCGGCCTCCCATGTTTTCCTGGTGTCACTAGCACTAGCAACTACTACTCTTCAACCAACCCTGCTTAGTAGAACTCACAGTTTATTTCATTAAACATTTAACACTGCCCTCCATGTGTCTGACTGCGGCGAGCCCCATTCCAGTCTTCAAGGAGGACCTCAGGTTCAGCTTTAGGACTCTGTTGGGTCCCTTCAGGCCATATGTGGACTCTTCTGTACATAATAAGTTCATTGTTTTTTCATCCTGTTGCTATTTAGTTATTTAAGAATCCATCATCTGTTTGATATTTTTTCTTATTAATGGTTTAAATTGCATCAATGGTTCTGACCCGTTTTCAAACTGTATATTCTGTTAGTGGTTCTGGTGGATTACCGTTTATTTACTCGTGAGTGTTTGTGCACATTTCTTGCCAATGGTTGCCTCTTGAAACGTATGCATATCTGTTTAAATATTTAAGCTATAATTGATGAAGCTGCCTTTGTGGGAAATGTTCTTTTGTAACTGGTAAATATAGTAATTTAACGCTATGCATTTATTTCAGTTGAAGTTTGATTGCGATATGCTTTCCACACAGCCACGCCTAAGACCTTTACAAAAGCCGGATATGCAAATATCCGGCTTTTGAAAAGCCATCGTTTTGAACTTTGTACGACTGGTTTATCCATAGGAAAGTATGACAGTATTATTTAAATTTAGATTACAATTATCTGTTTTGCTTTTTCTGCTTTTTGTGAGATGTGCATAGCTTTATTAAAGGTTCAGTTGACTTAATACCTTTTGTATTGTCTTCATTTTTAAAGTTAAGTTGTGCAGCATGTATTGGATGTTACATTTACACAGAACTTTACACTTATGCATAAGTCAACCAAATGCCCCACTTTGGCTTTTTGAGCTGCACCTCTTTGTCTCAGGGACAAGAGCTTTTCTTACCATTTTCTTGCATATCAAATGTTTTTGCCTTTTGAAGCGCAACCTACTATCAGTTTGTATTCCAGCTGGGAGCCCATATGGTCAGACCGGTTCCTCTGTTTTGGTATCCCTGCACATATGTTGGCTTTTAAATGTTTAAATGGGAGCTTAGGGTTACCTACCGCGACAGCCTTCACCTTTGTATTTGGTTATTGATTTTGAAGAAGCATGTGGCTGAGACTGAGGGCCGGAAAGCACCTTTGATCAGAGTGGCCCTTCTGCCCGAGCTGTGCTGTGCATGATATGTATTGATCGAGGAATAATATCTTTGTTCTTGCTCTGCTGCTTTACTGCACTCACGTTGCATGTGGTACTTTATATTTTTCCCTTTCTGCACACCTGTGGCCTGCCTAAACACCACCTGCTTGTTTTCCAAACTTCTAACAACTTACTAATGGCTTCACTCCTCCAATATTCACAAAGGCTAGTCTTGGCAAACTGCATGCTTGAGAACAAATCGTCCAATACTTAAGTACGTGGAGAATCCAAGACACACTGATGAATTGAGAAGGGAACAAAATCTGTGTAATTCACTTCATTTCACCTCAATAAAGTCTGATCAAGGCCAAGTGCTTTTGCGTTCTTCCGGTGTTAACTCAGTCGTTCTTTCATCACAGGACCTCGACTGGCATTCTAGCAGTGACTTCCTGAACCGGTGAGTGTCTCTGCTGTAATATCCTGGTGGTCGAAGATGAAACATGAGAGCAGGGTGGGTCCAATTCTTCAACTGGGAGGAACTGTCTTGTCAGCCGTGGAATCTCTCTAAACCAGGGGGGGCACAGGCAACTGGAGGACATGGGCTTGTATTTGATGGAGGCACTGCTTATAGACAAATGATCTAGCCCAAAGTAACACAACTGAACAAGAAAGAAACAAAATCACGATTAGAGCACAAACAATACATAGTTTTAATTGACCAAAGATGTAGAGGTAACTATACTTAAAGTGAATCTCAGTTATTTTTCCAAAGCAAGGATTATTAAACCTGACCATTCTCATCACTGACGAATGGGATAAAGTCAAGTTATTGGTATAAAAACGAGGTCCCTTACCGAAGATAAGTATTCTCCTCCAAAAAATCTTATTGGTGGTTAAGCCAAGGAAAGCGACTTTATCAAATATGCTTAATACTAATAACTTTACATAAAACTACATAGCCATATGGTCAAAAATATGAGTCATTGTGTTATAGTTTTTTTTTTAATTCAGTTTGAATACTTTTTGACAAGTTTATGTGATCATATTAGTGCATAATAACTAAATCATCACTGTGTTATAAATGAAATCACAAAAGATCCATGCACTTTTGAACAACAGACGTTTGATCGCTGGCCCTGATGATCCACCCACTTGCAGCCACATTTCCACATTCGGAAATGTCCTTTCAAATGCCACAGCCTTACGAATCATTTGTTTCTGTTGGTCGAGTTCCATTTCTATCAATATCTTCTAGCCCAACGTGACATCATTGGAATACTGCTTATATTATATGAAGTGTACTTCCTATGATGCTTGTTGATGTCAGCAGTCGTTTTAGATCAGTTTTTTTGTTTTTATTCAATTATGGCAGTGTACTATTTGTGAATGTGGGGGATGAGTAACAGGTGACTCATTCAGAGCTTATTATGAGACAACTGACACAATCTGAATGGCACACCATTTAATAATGTGTCATCGTGATTTCAGCCTGCAGCATACAACCATTTCACAGCTTTGTGTGAATGAGTGGAGTCTATACACAGATATTAAGCATTCAAAATCATTCAATTTGATTTCTGTCCAGATAATCTTTCCGCTCTGGCAGGGCAAGGCAAATTTCTTTATAAAGCACCGTTCATCCAGAAGCAACTTGGGGCGTTTAACAGACACAGAAAGAACATTTTGCACATTTGGTACACGGAAATGTCTTTTAAAGTCTCTTCTATGACATGGAAGAGACAAATGTAGAGGTCGTAAAATCTTGTGATATGATCGCATTTTTTGTATTTGTGAGGACTCTTGCCTTCGCGTTTTCAATCAGCTGCAGCTGGGGTTTTTTCTGAGCCCAAGATAGGGGGAATACTAGGAAAACTAAAAACTGAAGTTTCAAGACGTTTATTTTTCATTTGTGCACAAGCAGACACCCGCTAACCCTGGCTCCCAGTTCCCAGTTAAACGCTAGTTCATTCAATTAAAAGTGCATTTACAAAGTTATGCAGATACAGTGTAGATATTCAACAGATTAAAACGTTTGTGCAACTAGCAGTGGAGCAAGTATCAACCGATATGCATTCAGTGAATCAATTCAACACTTTGCCATCATTACCATAATCCAAGTATTCATAATTCCTTCACATCTAACGTTGCATTGTAAAGGGGGTTCATTTTTAAAGAAACGATAATGTACAATTTGCACAAACGAATCCAGTATATAAAATGAACAATGACACAGCATATCCGTGTCATATCCACCACCAAACGCTACATCTAGAAATACCAGATCCAGCAATTTTTAATTTTAGGGTAATATCAAATAAGAATGAATTGAGAGCGATAATGAATCTTGATGAGGAGGGGACATTACACGGTGAGGATTAGGGCATTTATCAGTTTCTCTATTTCGTATTAATGCACCACAGCAGCTATTTTTTCCTTCTGACAGATTTGCATGATCAAATTCCAGCATATGCTCATTGATTTAACCTATTCTCAACATTATCCATCTGAATACAGCCTCTTAGGTTAGGGTTAGAATATCAACAAAAATATGGTGTGAATTAGATGTATTTAATTATTATGAATGTGTATTATGATGTTTAATTCATAGGAGAAAGGTTTGAACAGCCTGCCACAAATCACACTCTCAATACTTAACAGATATTCTCAGTAGAACAGACAGAAAATAACTTGTTCAGATCCAAGGCAAGTGGCAAGGGACATGTTTTTATTTTAATTTTCCACCCAATGCAGATCTGATTGGAGCCTTCAGCGTGGCATGTGATGTACGCACAAACAAGTTCACAATCAGATAGCTGGGAAAATGAGCGTGGGACAAATGCCTTGAAATTACTGGGTGAGGCCTTATGGAATGAAATCTTGTATTTTGAGCATTGGTAGGGAAAGACAAATGTGACGTGCCTCGCCATGCTGCTGTGGCCAGTTGCCAAATGTATTATCAAAACCATGAGACACCGGCACAACTACTACTCCAACAGCCTAATGGCACGTTTGGTTTGGGCTGCATCAAACCGAGATGATGAGGGGGTTTGCAGCAGCTCCAGGAAGGACAAAGTAGGAGTTGCAAAGTTTAACCTGGAGGGGAAAAAAACAATCTTAAGTTAATGGGTTGCTATTGCTTGAATTGAGCTGTTCTTTTTAAGAAACTTCTTGATTTTCTTGTCTTAATTTATACAGTCTATGCTTAAAACCGAAATTTCCAATGGAACAAGTGTAAAATGTTATGTTTGAGCTTATTTTCACTTGGAATGAGGCTAGGAATAAGTTTTTTCATTTGCAAATCCTGTTTTAAGATAATAAAACCAAAATAATTAAGATTTAAGCTATTATCTATATATTATGAAAGTATTGTGTAAAATTTGTTTGAAAGATATACTAAAACAAAGCTCTCTCTTTGTTAGTTAAAATGTCTTTATTAGTTATAGCAGGTCACTCTGGTCTGTGAACTCATTGACCCTCAGCCATTTTTGATGATTTCACTGATTGTCAAGGCCCACAGAATATTATGGGCTATGACTATGTGGAAGTTTGAAACCAGATTCTGAAAGACTGGATTATGTACTTTCATTGCAAAAATAGTTTGATTTTTTGATATTTTTTTCTCCCTTAATCCTCAGTCGAATATAGGGAAGTTTCTCAAGAAATTCCGTCAATGGCAGTTAATGGGTTAATATACAGTAGATCACTTATTACTTACTTACTTACAATAGCAGTTTAACTAAGAAATGAAATGTCTTGGTTTTTGAATTTTGGTACTGACTTTATTTTAGACATGTTTTCCCAGTAACGTAGAATGACATTTTCACTGACTGTATCATTTTAATGGTGTTACATATTTTTGCAGATATAACCAGCCCCAAATCCGTTCCTGGTCTTTCTCCCAAGCGGTATGTATGATCTCGTTTAACACAAGCACAGTTTATCATGCATGCTTACGTACTGGAAGTGGCGATGCATTTCTGGACGTGAGTTTAAGAACTTGGCGTCCTCCGTGCGATGTCAAGAATGTTTGGCTTGAATCTTGGCAGGAATAAAAGTAAAGCTGATCAAAATAGCTCTGTTATGATTCATTCAGATACACGCCATATTTTTCTACATGCTGCGTGGACTCCCAAGGGTTAGGTTTTATAAGGATTATCTATTTGCTTGTGTTATTGTGAGAAAGAAGAGGAGGCACGTGCACATATTGTACACACACATGCAATTCTACCGCAGCATAAGTTACTGTCGATCCACCAGGGTCAGGAGATTAGGGACATAGAGGCCATGTTTGAACTGATTTATGGTCCAAGGGCAGCGTTGTGGAGACAAACAAGAAAACCTTGACCCCACGCCACAACAAAAAATACAAAACCAAACACAAATCTTAAAAGGTTTACGAGTTGATTTTATTTGAGGGTCTGAGTGTAGTGTGAGAGCTTGTGAAATAGGCTTGAGAGAATGATTTGTGATGACTGCTGACTACTGTTGTAACCAGCTTCCGTTATAAGCAAAGTGGTCACATGCTTAAGCCAGGCCTCATCTTTCAAATATGTTTGCTATTTCAATAGGAACCTATACAGATGTAGAAATAAATTGTCATGAGTAGATAACCTATAGTCAGGGCTCATGCCTCACAGCCAGATGGTTGTGGGTTCGATTGCAGAGCTGGCCCGGGTCTGTGTCTGGGTGGGTTTCCTCCAGGCCTTGCTAACACCCAAGTCAAATATCATAGGAATATTGCCCAGAGAAAGTAGTCTGGACCAAACTGTAAAACAGGATTGATAACTATAGAAAATAGATTTTCATACAGAAAGTGCAACACAAAGCAAAGTTTGGCTAAAAACAACACTAGGAGGTTAAAGGAGGAGGACAATGTTCTATAATGGTTAAAATAAATTAAAACATTAAAAATAAACTATAACAAATAACATTTTATTCGATTACTTTGCCCACGCTTTTGATTTACTCTTGATTGATTAAAAATAAAGTTGTAATTTAAATTTTCCTCTAAAGGTTTTTATTTTATTTTTATTTTTCAAATAAGTTGAGAAGCTTGGAATAGAGCTGCTCCTCCACCACATCAACCACGAGTTGACACTGTAATCTGTGCAGAATGGACTGGGAACTTGGATGTCCCGCTTGAGCTGAAGGAAATGTCCAGGGACCTGGAGACTGCAAACCCCCGTCATTTGGCCCTGGATCAGTGCAAGATTGTTAGAGGTGCTAAAGAAACTTTAACTTAGATTTATCATTTACCAGCGTTGAATGATGTGTCAATCACAGGACATTTTGATGCTGGTAGATGTTGATTGTAGTCAATTCCCAGTCTTGAAGTTATTTTTATAACTTTTTCTAATCTCAGCCCCATCCCCCATTAACCCAGTGTGAGAATCCTCCGCCAAATAATAGACACACTGTTTAACTCCTCCCGGTTTTCTCCCCATGCACCCACATTTCAGATGGAGCGTAGCTAGGGGAGGGAGGGTAATCGGGGGCATTAGCAAAGTGCCGTGACAATTCTCAGCATGGATCCTAATGCATGAGAGAGTAGTACAATGGTGTAACTAATTTTCGGTTCTACCCCAGGCCTTTGACATGAGTTGCGCCCAGAATTACCTCACTTCCCTTTCAGTCACAATTGCAGCATTGTGCCTGTAAAATTATATGCTGCATTAAGAAAATATATTGCATTTTTAATAGATCAAATAGCTATTTGGAACTGTAGGTTTGTGTCCAAGAGGTTTGTCCTTCTGCATTTGCCTGAGTGCCGTGTTAAATGGAGAATGGAATGAAAGCTATGATAATACTGGACTCAGGAATGTGTCTGTGTTTCTGCAACAAGTACACACAAAGGCCAAAAGTCTAAAACCCATCCATCCATCCATTTTCTTCCCCTTAATCCATTTCTGGGTCGGGGGGGTGGCAGTCAGAGCTGCACCCAGTCACAGAGCACCAGCCCCTCGCTGATCCTCCTGCAGGTGGTGAGTCCACAGGAGCTGAGATCTTTCAGCAGGGGCTACAGGCAAAGTGGGGTTAAGTGTCTTGCCCAAGGACACAACGACAGTAGACATCAGTGGGAGTCGTGAAGTAGGTCTTATGGTGGGATCGAACCCACGACCTTCAGGCTCTAAGGCCAATGCTCTACCAACTGAGCTACTGTCGCCCCTACTGTCGCCCCTACTGTCGCCCCTACTGTCGCCCCTACTGTCGCCCCTACTGTCGCCCCTACTGTCGCCCCTACTGTCGCCCCTACTGTCGCCCCTAGTCTAAGTCTAAAACCAGCGCAGATAACATGTTACCAAGGGTTTACAAAAACAGATCTTTACTTAAATTGAATGATTGTTGTAATTGATTGACATTACTTTAAGACATGAATTGGTATTTAGCCACATAATAAGCATACTTTGCTACATTACATTACATTGAAAACTTTTTCTCCAATCCTCAAATTTAAAATACAATAACATTTTGTGGTCACAGCACGTCGGCTAAAGGCATTTTTAGTTTTATTATCTAAATAATATCTTATTGTGTATCCCTTAGAGGTGGCAATAGTCTTAAGTAAAAGTATAGATACGATACTAGTGTAAAATTCTGGTAAAAGTAAATTTCATGAACAAATGTTTCTGGTCTCATTTGACGAGCACATATCTCCAGAATGATAGAAAATTGGGAGGCCCAATTGTCTTGATGATCCACCTGGAAGTAGAAAATCCCCATATACCTTTGAGTCTCAAAGTAAAATTATTGTTTTCTTTTTTTTCAATCACTGATGGGCAGATTTCACATATTGTAAGAATTGCTTTTGAAACAAACAGAATATGATGTTACACAAAACATGTAGAACTTAAGACAAATGATGCCAATGGTTATCTGGTCATTTAGAAACATAACTGATAATGTTCAGTTCAAATCTGATTTTATGTCATCTCGCCATAAGAAAAGTAACAGTAAACAGTGTAAAGTACAAACACTTGGATTTAAAAGTAAGAAATACAAATAAAATACTGATGGCAGGAGGGGATAATACTTGCCTCTGGTATCCCTCATAATTATAAAGCAGTGAATAATAATATGAAATAATATGTGAAAAGTATATACCAAGCAGATAAAAAAAAAAAAAAAAAAAATTTGGATCGATAGATTAAACGCTCTGCAGCGACATCTAACGGCCATGAGCTGTAAGTGCAGGTAAATTGAGCTGGTCTATCGTACAATAGCCAATCTTTTGAACTTTGTCATATTTTTGGAAAATGCACTAGTTTTTGAGCAACAAAAAGTTCTGTCACTGCATATTTTAATTGAAAAAGGATAACATTCTTTCATTAGGCTGCATGAGTGAGTATGTTTGCAGAAAACACATGCTCGACACAGTTTGAGCAGACCTGAAGCATAACTGTCTCTGGTTGTAAGTCCACTCACTGAGGTCGTGCAGGTAATGGGTTTAGTTTTAGAACACCGATTTAGATGCTTTATTGAAAAGTTAGACAGGATTAAAAGATAAATATTCGTTTACGATTAATTGCTTCAGATGCTAGCTTTTGTTTTTGATTACAAAGTTACTATCGCTTTTGCAGTGCATAGACTGTAAATACTATATTTATTGTGCTGTAGCTTTGACTCTTGTCAAGAAAAACCTCGTACAAGAAGAATGTAGTAATGGTAATAATAATAATAATACGTTTTATTTATTTTTGTAACAATGTGACAAAGACTACCACACGTGTATTTGATATACTTTACATCCACTTTTGCAGGATGTAAACAATTGTAATGTAAATAATTATTTAATATGTATATTGATTATAGTAAGAATAAATTATAGACAATTAAAAGAGAAATAGCTTTAAGCCCCCACAATCAGTTTCTTTCATAGCTTTTTAGTCACTGCCCTGAATTGTTTATAATGACAGTTAAATGTATTTTGAGTGGTAATTTGTGTTTTGGAAATGAGGAACTGTGCAGAGGAAGTTAGTCTTAGTGGATTTCACAATAGTACCCATCCTAATAGTTTGACGTCCAATACGTTATTAGTTTTTTCTAATGTTGTCTTCTATGAAAACATAGAAGTTAAGTATGTGTATGTCCCGTTACGTTGGGGAATTTTATCACGATTTTGTTTTGTTGTTTATTTCCTGTCGTCTTGATGTTACAGCATTTTCTAGTGTTTATGTAATCAGTAGAAATGTTGAAACATCTTGGCTGAGTCCAAATTCAAAAAACACACCTCCTTTCTAATCTATCCTGTCTTTCCTTATGCTTTAAAATTGACCTTTTATAAGATGGAGCTGTTTCAGGTCTGATCAAATGAATTTTAACAGATTTTTAAAGGTTTTGTAAATGCCACTTAGGTCAAATTGTTTTCCACAGTGGTTTTTTTAAGGAAGGAAGGATAAGAAAGGAGATGAGTTGTATGAATTGGGTTGTGCCCTTGTCTCTCCTGGTGATGTCACAGCTTCCTGTCACACAGGGGCAAGATATTGTAATTTTCTGCTCACTATTGTCCATGGATGCTTCACCTCAAACTGGGCTTTGTTTTCCTCCTTCAGGCTGCCTTTCCCATATCTGTGTCCTCACCTATGGCTGCTGATGACTACAACCCAGTAAGTCACTCACATTTCAAAAGCAAACAAGTAGCCATTTTTTTTTTTAAACAAACCAGTGGTGTGATATGATTATTAATGAGTTGGAGGACACCTGCTTTTATATTATGTGAATATTATAATGTAAAATGTGTTTTAATTGAGATAAAATCCCTTCTAGTGACTGACATTGCAAATTACCCTTGGCTATAAATGTTGTAGTGTTTCACATGTTGATTATGTATAATTGTCCCTATCAAATAAATTGATAAATAAGTCAAACATAACATATCAATGCATATTTGTCCAGGGTAAAATCTCAAGTTGTCATGCGGAAGGATTGCACAAAATTGTGGTTTTGTTAAGAGCAGAGATTAGCATTAAAACTGTCAACGGTCATGAATACAAATGGACCAATTTTCACAAGAATTGAGCAACTGTAAATACACACTAGAATAATAGATAAGCTTGAAACGTAGATGAATTCACATTTTAGATTATAATATTGTGTTTTTCTTGCTTCACAGTTTTGTAACATTATTAAGTGAGACAAAGTATTATTCAACTGAAAACTACATTTGTTCCGGACTCTTAATCCCAAATATTTCTTATTGTTCAGTGAAAGTAAAGCGGCACCAGTCCGGACGTAAATGGCAGAAAGCTGTGATATAGAAGTTTTGCATTTGAGATGTGTGCAGCGAGAGGCAGCCGCTTTAGTGCATGTGACGAGTGTGTGAAACAGGATGTTACACTGAGTCTTCTGCGCTCGAGTCTCCAGCAGATCTGTTCCTCTTCTTCCTCGTACTCCTTCGCTCACAAATGAACCTAACCCTTTCCTCTCTGCAGGTTTCACTTCGACATAAATCAAAGAAAAAGAGTCGAGGAGGTAAGTTGTCTCCGTTAGGGTGCATCTTTATTGCCAGTTATTTACAATGAAAAACAATTGGACACTTAAAGCTGGGGCACCTAACTTTCAAGCCAAACTTTGTTCCACGCTCTCAAAACGGTTTGGTTCTATCACTGGTATTCACATGTATTTTCTGGTCTTGGTCACATCCGCATTAGATCAGATTTGTTCACTTTTCAGACACAATCGATTTCACAGTGACAATTTGTTTACTGTTTTTTGTGTGTTATTTCTGAACTTTTAACCTTGTTTTATTTATGTGCTTGTCTTGTGCACACCTGATACTTTTGCAAATGTATTCCAATGTGGTTTTACTGCAAATGGCCAATAAATGAATCTGAATCTAAATTTGACAAAAGTGAAAAAATAGTTAAGCAAGCCTCAATCCGCTCTCAGCCCATTGGCTCAAACAGTGACGCACTGGGCTCTTCATCACAAGTATGAAAATAAAATCTGTCTCATAAGAGGAAGATGACTCGTTGGATATGTTCACAACGTTTTACTTTTACAAGACTTTTTCTGTTGAGAGAAAAACAATGTATTTAAATTACGGGTCCCCCAGATTTACATTTTGGGGAGCTTGTCTTTCCACTTCAGTGCTCTTTATACCGTCTTGCCAATACACATTTTTATTCACAAATGTGTGTAAACTGTATTTTTCTTTTTAAGTTTGCCTTCATGCATATTGTAGTGCATCAATCAAAAGTTGTGGTCCTGTTTTAAAGCAATGGAAAGCGTGCAGATATAAACTTAGACTGACTTTATTGATCCACAAGGGAAATTGCATTGTTACAGTAGCTTGCATAGTGTTCCACAAAACATAACAATGGAAATATTAATAAAGTAAACTACCTGAAAATAAGATACTATTGTGAGGATAGAATAATATGGCTATAGGTAGACAAGAATAAACATATCTGTGAATATGTACACATTTACAGTGGATATGACCAAAAAACTGAAGTGGGAACTGCGCTCTGAATTGTGTATAATTCTGTGTATATGTCTCATTCCTACAGGCAATGGTACAATGAGCAGGAGGAGGATCTCGGTCAAAGAGCTTGGACAGTCCGAACACCAGGGATGGCTCTATAGGAAGAAGGAGTCCAAAGGGTTTCTGGGCATCAAGTGGAAGAAATATTGGTTTGTCCTCAAAAAGACGAACCTCTACTGGTACAACAATCAGCTGGTGAGTTCATCATGCGTTACATAACTACCAAATAATGTACTTTCTGTTTCATATGTGAATCATTTAGCTTTTTAACCCTTTAATATAGTCTCCTCAACCATTTGGTGGATCACTTTTTGAGTCACTAACTCTATTTGAAGCTTGGAACTGAAAGTACCTAACAGGGACATCTATATCCCTTTAGACACTTTTACCATCAAACTGTATCTCACCTTTTTGGTAAAGGCCTATGATTTAAAAAACAAACAAACAAACAAACATCAAAATTTGTGTTATTTCTGCTTCTACAGCTTAGAAAAAAAAAAAAAAAAAATATATATATATATATATATATATATATATATATATATATATATATATATATATATATATATATATATATATACACATTGCTTTCTTCAAGGCGTGACAATGTAATAGCGTTTTATATTTAACTAAATTATTATGTAAAGCCGGTGCTTGGAAGATTCAGACCTGCTTTCACACCTTGTCATAGTCTCACCGAGGTAACCACAATATGGTCTTGTCCTACATAATTAAAGCACTTTGATTATTCTCTGAGAATTGTCTTCATCACATAATGCAACAAGTGAAACAAAGTTCGATTATACATTATGATATATGGCTACTCCTTGTCTTGGGATATTACTCAAAAAGCCAATACAGAGTTTGAATTCAAACATGATGCCTCTGAACACAGATGTAGTTGTTGTGACATTAGCCTGAATTATCAAGATCTGTCAGGAAGTGGTTTGACTTAATATGTTGCACAATTCTTATGTTTCAGGCTGAAAAGGCTGAGGGATATATTAACCTCACAAACTTCATGATAGACAGAGCCATAGAGTGCAAAAAGAAACAGTAAGCTCATTCTTGTCGTTCATTTCCTTGTTCCATTCTAAAGTTTATCATCAACGTTTTCTTTCCCCAGTGCATTCAAAGCCTGTCACCCACGGGTAATGATGTTCTTTTTCGCCGCAGAGAGCCATGAGGAAATGACTTTGTAAGTTGCCCTGAACTCATGCGATGTGTATATACACACATAACAGTAACGCTTTAGATGTAAATACATGCTTGTCTTTGTTCAGATGGTTGAATAAACTGGGGTTAGCTTCCATTCATTATGAGTCAGCTGAACCTCCCACAGTAGCTGGTATGTTTCTTCGTTTATGCATATATGTTTAGTATTGTCATGTATCCTTTACTTTGGTTCTAGCTTGATTTCAGTTTTCAGGTCTCGATGATAGAAATCGTTATGTTTCTGTGTTTTAGAATGTTATAGTGAAGCTAGTGACCATGAAGAGACTGAGATCACTGAAATCCCGCCCCCGCCATACTGTGAGAAAAAGTTACAAGAACGTGTCGATGCTGCTTCTCCCCCTGGCAGCACCAATCAGGTCAGTGTTTGTTAGGGTGACATTTGAAATGTAAAAATAGAAATATATTACATCCTATTTTTGACACTTGTTGCTCATGAAGCGCAGGTATTACTTTGAAAAAAGCAAAACAACATTTGCATTTGTGCAGTTGGCACCACTACTCAGAAACACTGTGCACCTGTGAATTAACATTTGCTTTGGAAAACCTTGTGTTTGGCTGATCCACACACACACGACAGTAGCTTATGTGAGCACAGGGCCCTCCGCATTAAGCACCTGTGTTCAGTTGTGTAGCCTACTTGTTTAAGTAGTAGATAATATAAGATGCTAAATTACTTTTTTGCTTGCTAAATTGTAATAAAGACTTCAGAGATTGGAGATTGATGAATCGCATTGTGAATCAAACCCAATGGTGATTTCTGATTTTTACATCACCACTTGCCATTTGGCAATTCACTGGTTGCTGGAAAAGTAGACCTTGGTTGGATTAAGCCTAGGCCCCTCTGGAATAATGAATTGGCCTATAGCATTGTTTGGTTATGAGTATACAGCGCCCACTGTCGGTGTAAATATGTACTTGCCTTTAATGCAAATGTAGATCTCTAGCGGTCTGTGTTCATATTTCCCAAAAAGCACGTTAGACTATGGGTGATGACACCACTCCTTTCTATGATCAATGGTTAATTGTTAGTTTTCATTTTAAAAACCCAATCAAAAATAAATGTTTTTTACTTTGTTCAGGGTACACTTCCTCCACCATACTCCTCCACCGCTCCGAGTGAAGCCAATGGTTCAGTCTCAACACCTGCAAGCACAATGACCTCCCTGGACTCTGCCTCCTCACTGGTTAAACAGCGGCAGTCCTGGATGGACTTGGTCACACAGGCGCCACCTTCTACTGCAGAGAGTGCAATAGTGTGTTCAGTGCAGGTACACTCGCAGTATGAGGAGGAGGAGCAGGAGGAAGATGCAGCTACTTTACAGCCTAAAGCAGCATCTGAGGAGGAAGGTCACTGCTCCAGTCAGGAACAGCAGGAACAAGGTGAATATTAGACAAATTGTGCAAACCATATTTTTTTCAGAATGTATCCTTCTTTTTTTACAATAAAATAAGAAAATCTCCAAATGCTCTGTTTTCAAACATGCTTTGCTATAATCTTATGACGTCATGGACAGCAGTTTATGCCTTGTAAAACAAAAGGGGCCATATTAGTTGTTCAATTACAAAACAGACAGTAATGGGAGTGTGTTCTCTTCCTATCCATCTCTTTTTACATAATTCATGTTAATTCATACATGTTTAAATTATGTTCATAACATAGATACAGTATTCTACTTGGATGTACAGTAGATTTACATTCAAACTGAATAGTCTGTTTTCAATCACCATGTTACAGATAAACACAGTCTATCAGATGAGCTGGAGAAGCTGTACATCCATCTCAAAGAAGCGAGTCTTTCACCAATCGGGGACCGAAAACCATCCACAAAAAGGGAATTCCGAGCGTCCTTTATAAAACGGTCCAAAAATCATACGGTTAATGATAAACTTCACCTCATCAGAACACTCAACAGCACATTGAAGGTAAATTATATTTATTATTGCTATTGTTTTGTTTATTTATTATTTTTGTGTTGTATACTGAATTGTTCTCTTTATTCTGTCTTAAGTCAAAAGAAGCAGATTTGCAGGTCCTTGAGCAATTGCTAACGGAGCCCCAGCTCACAGCAGAGAAGTTCAGAGAATGGAAAGAAGCAAATGCCCCCCTAATGCTGGAAATCTGCTGCAAAAACGGCCAGCAGGGGGCGCCAGAGGACACAAACTCTGAAACATCCGAGACGCCACTTGTTGAGACGAGTTTATGAGGACTAAAGTGTATTTTAAATATGGACATTTACTGTTTACATCCACTGCTGTAATTTTATTGTAACTACTGTTACTCCTTCTCACAAGATTTATGAAGAAATTGTGCCTACTAGTGACTTTATTGTAAATGCGAATGTCTTTTTATTTTGTATTTTATTTGTATGATACAATGTAGTGATGGTATTCATGTTTTTATTATGTTTTTATTACTGATTTGATTCTTATTATTGGTGCCATGCACTTTCTAAACTATGTGCTTATTACTTGCTTCTCCTTAAACCTCAGTGTTGATATACTGCAGAGTAACAACCTGCACAAACATTAAAGGTTTTCCACAATTTTAAGAGAACTCAACTACTGACTTTTCTTATTTTAATCTTCATGGAGATAAAAGCACAAAGACAATATGCTTGAGTGCCCTAGCGCTGTCACTGCCAGTGTTGGGCATGTTACTCTGTTTGTGTTCTATAAGTGACAGGAATAAACGTAAGAGGCACACTGCTTTGAATTACTTTGGCTCCAAATTAATTAATACATATATACACAAAGAAAATTAGTGATTGTCTTAAGTTTTTCTTTCAAATTCCTATGTTTCAATATTTTTACATCCTACACCAGTTCTTTTTATTAAATTAAACGCATGTGGACTTAACTATGGAAGTAACTTGGGATGCTTGACTGTATCTAGTAATGCCATTTTGTATGACTTGCACAACCAAGTTACATCTAAAAAGAATGTATTACAGTAAGGTTACAACTTATCAAGTTTTTCACAATTTTTTTGTAGAATACAAAAAACATGAACATGGATGAATGAATAAATAAAAAAAAAAAAAAAAAAAAAAAAAAAAAGAATACATAATTCTATTTCTAACCAACTGCATTAAAGCAGTTGGAATTGTGGGACCATTAAATTCTTTTAATAGTTGGAATTTAGGATTTGTCAATTTTTGATTAATTCAATCAAACAAAACGGTCACTTTTCACTCCACTATTGCACACAAGTTGGTAGGTTATGAAGTCATGGGTGAATATCATTTTCCAGTGAGGAAGTCTATGGTATTCTTTCTTTTTTTTTATAGACAGCGTCGCCATTTCATAATAAATCCATGGTTGTTAGACATGTGAACTGTAACATGCACTGTTCCTATAACGATTGAACACATGTAGTGGTGCGTGTCAGCCGCGAGGGGTCGCTGTTTGGCGTGTTTCCTGCTTGCGCCATATTGGCTTTAGTCTGCACTCCTCCATCTTCGCCGAGCGTCGAGCATGCACGTCTTAAACCGGGTTCTGCAGGGAAGTCTGTAAACATTCTAACATCTGTGAGGAGAAATCTGTCACCATGGAGGCGGTGAAAGCTTTTAACAACGAGGTTTGTGTTAATAGACCATTTATAACGCAATAAAATCCATTCAGTGTGTTTTATCTGCATTTGCCATTAACTGGAGCTAGCATTAGCTTATGTAGCATAAAGGAGGAGTGGATAGTCATACAGGACAAGGCCTCTTTGTGTTACTCTCCTCAAGCAAATCTGGATTCACTTCATGGCCTCAGCAGTGATAAGCGTGATGAGAATTGTAAACAAAAACGGTGTGTCTTTACACATTGTTTGTGTATTTATGGAGAAGTTAAGCTAAACCCAGAGCTAACGTTAGCGCTGCTAGCAAGATGCGAGTTCGATAATTAATTGCAGCATAATAATAGGTTTTAAATGGGTTTTAAAAAGTGTTTAATGAAACCGTAATAACCAGTTCAAAGGGCACGACTACTACACGTTCCATGGTTCTTAAACATAGCTGCTATTAAATGCCCGCCTATTATCCAAGGACACTGGCTAAATGGGTTGGTACTCCCTGCTGACCGAATGATGCTGTGTTTTGACGACGCAAAACCAGCACCGAAGCATCCCCTCATAGATTCTTTAAGGATACATTCCCTGGGTACGTTCAGCGGAGGGGTCTTTGACAGCTCCTTATTAACTCAAAGGCTGGCCCCTTAGAGATGGGGCGAGGAGTTGGGTCACACGGGAGAAACTCGGTGTAGAGCAGCGGCTCTATAGGCATCTGCATGTTTTCTGGACTCCTTCAGGTGGAGATGGTCTGGGCATGTCCCACTGGGAAAAGGCCCATTCGAGGGACTGTCTCAAGTGCCCTGGGAATGCTTTGGGATATCCCTGGATGAGCTGTAGAAAGAGTGCTTGGAGAGGGAAGTCTGGGTATCTCTGTTTAGACTGCTGACCCAGGATCAGATAAAGCGGAAGAAGATGGACGGTTGGCTACAACAGTGTGGTAGTTTGAAGAGTTTTAATGCTAAGGGTCTAACATGAGCTGATTATATCAACCAAAAAGATGCCTTTCTACTCCATTAGCTTTTGACATGTGTCTGTTCATCTTTCAGCTCTACTCGTTAAACGAGTACAAACCACCGATCTCCAAGGCCAAGATGACCCAAATCACCAAGACTGGCATCAAGGCCATTAAAGTGAGTATTTATATGTCTGAGGTCAAGTAGGAAATAAGACCTGCACAAACAATATCTGACTGTTATGGGAATAGTAAAATCGACAGGTAACCTAATAGGTAATCATATGTTTGAGTCCCTCAGCCGATAGACTGAAATAAACTATTGAATAAGTTTTGTGTGTTTTTTAGGTTTATCTTTAAAGTACTTGTAACACTGTCAATTTTCATTGTTAAATCTTCATTTCAAATACTGATTTATGTTTGAGCCAAGAAGTTTTCCCCTGTTTCCTCATGAAAAAGTTCAAGGAAGGCTGTGAAAGTAAAACAAAATTGCAAAATATATTATTATTATGCTGTTTGTTAGGGGTGGGAACCTAAGGGTACCTCACGATACGATACAATACACGATACAAAGCTCACGATAACGATATTCTCACAATAACGATATAACGATTTTATCACAATATGACGATTATCAATATATTGGTCAGAAATTTATGGCAAAAATAAAAGAAGAAATACACTTATTGCATGATAAATGGAATGGAGATGCGTAATGTAGCCATATATTAAGTATTGATATCAATTAAAACTAATTTGTAAATCAAATTAAAAAATTTTTTTTTTTCAACATCGAAATCGATGCTTGGCAAATGCATATCGATAATCAATTCGCGGGAGAAAGTATCGCTACTACTACTGTTTGTTAGTTTAATGTTTTTTGTTTATGAGTAGGTAGTTACTGATTATCATGCCTGATTTCAATTTATATTGTCTGCTTATTTGGACAGATACAATGACTATAACAAAGTTTTTTAATCCATGATTCAAAAATGTGTTTCTCCAATGTTTAACATAACAACTTTGCAGATGGCAAAGTTATTATTACTTGCCGGGAGTTTGCGCTTTCTTGACAGCTTCAGTTTTCCGTTTTTCTTCAGCTTGCATGCAATCGCTCTGCACCGTCTTATGCTTGCTTCTCAAATGTCTAATGAGATTCGTTGTGTGAAATGATTTTCTAGCAGTCCCCCCTCTTGAAATCGCCAAATGACATTTACCGATGGTAGTTAACATGGCAAACATCGGCTGATACCAATGTTCAGCCGATGCGTCGGTGCATCCCTAATCCTTTAAGCTCAGAATTGAGATGTACAAAATATATAATGCTATGCCACAGTTGTCATAAATGATCAGATATAGCAGACACAGGTGTGCCCTCTATTTATTTTTTTACAGGATTGTTATTCTTTGATTTACATATCACATTACATAAATTGTCTTTTTTCCCAGATTCTTGAACCAAACTACTTTCAGCTGAATTGACTGTATAAAGTTTATGTAGTTATGTTTTTCCTGTGAATAACACCCGTTTTCCTTCCCTCAGCAGCTCTCCCAGCTCCCCCAATGCACTGAAAGTGAAGCAGGAGGATGGGGTGGAGAGAGTTACAAAGAAATAAGCGAATCCGTAACCATCTTAGGTAGGAGTATGGGTTGTTTCACAAGGAAACCTAAAAAATACTTGAGCCATTTAAGTCACATTTTGCCACACACATAATTTGACTTCTCATTGCCACATACTTGAGTACTTTACTTGCTGGCTTGAGTTTTTGGCTTGTTGAATTGGACATTGAGTTGGTTGTGATATGGGTAGATGTTGCTAGGCCATTGGATTATGAAGTTGTTGATGGTCATTGTTTTGCAAAAGATCAATATTTGCAACTTAGAAATAATTACAAGTGCACAATCATTGTGGGCCGTAATATCAAAACAATGACGACTTATTATTTTATCCTCCCTTTTTTTGTAGTTATTCCCCCTGGAAATCCTTTATTCCTAAAAATGCCAATGCCTGTGATTTTGGCAAATAGGCAAATTTGTCTTCAATCAATCAATCGACCAAAGTGCTTTACAATAAAATCACGTCTTGACTTTATCTGTATGTATTCTCCCATTAAGATTTGTGTTGTGTTTAAACTGAAGCGCGTTGTCTGGTGATTTGAAAGTTTCAGTGGATAAAACATCCAATAGTGTTTATACAACCTTTTTTGTGTGCGGTTTTGAGCACATATACAAAACCTGTACTAGCCAAGAACTAGTTGTTTGTTCCGATGTTAGATTATGTGGGTGATCTGTCAATGCCTCAAGAGTTGCCAGAGACTTCTCTAGCTCCGTTGTTAACATACATGTGTATGAGTTTGCGTTAAGGGTTCATTGATCCTAAAGGCTTTGATCTGCCTTTATAAGTACTGACTAAATGTCAGTATTTACCTCAGCATCATCTGCAACCTTTTGTTTTTTGAAGACTGTAAGATGTTTGTGTAAATGTCTGGTCGTCTCTCTATCTTGGACTTTTTCCTGGACTGTCTATTTTAGAAAAATATAAAGGGTTCCTAAAGTCATTGAAAATATTTGCAATTGAATTCTCTCAGCTGATGCCCATGTTGGTGTTAAAAACTCTTGATTTGTAGCAGAGTGGCTGTGAAGTGTGTTACTGTGGTGATTTACACTGGACTGACTCTTTTCAGAGCTCACTTAACCCTTAAAAGACAATGGGCCTCATTCACGAACGGTTCTTAGGAACAGATGTGTACGTAAATCCTACTTACGCGGTTTTTACGAAGAAAGTGGCATTCACGAATATTTCTCGTAACCAGAATTTCTCTAGGGCAAGTACAAATCCTACGAGTCCTCAGGAGCACTCGTACGCATTCAGTGCCGACATGTTCACACGCCGGGGTTGTCCTCTTTGGTGAAGTTGAATAAAAATACAACATTCCAGTGATATGTCCGTCATATCGATGTATGTATTTATTTATTTGTAGTAATCTTTATTAGTAATCTTTATTTATATACCGCCTTTTTCACTGCAGATCTGGCCTACTTTTTAATTCATTTTGAAATGAAATGTGCCAACGCTTTATCAAATACATTGGAAATCTTGCCGTGTATTAGTGACCCCTTCCTATTTATAGAGGGCATTTCTTTATCCACGGGCCACAGAACAACGGCATATATACTGCTGCTGCAGGAGGTTACTGGGTCCGCGCTGAGTCTCTGCGCTGGTCTCTCCTATGGATCTATACGGGTCTGCACTGGTCTCTCCCATGGATCTATACGGGTCTGCACTGGTCTCTCCCATGGATCTATACGGGTCTGCACTGGTCTCTCCCATGGATCTAGACGGGTCTGCACTGGTCTCTCCCATATACGGGTCTGCACTGGTCTCTCTCCATACGGGTCCGTGCTGCATGCTCCTGGATCCATACGGGTCCGCGCTGGTCTCTCAAGTCTGGTCTATGCGGTCTATCTTCGGTCCGCGCTGGTCTCTGCGCACCGGTCTCTCCAGTCAGGTCACTACAGTCTATGCGGTCTCTCCTATAGGTCCGCGCTGGTTTCTGTGTGCTGGTCACTCCAGTCTCTCCTCGGGTCTGCATTGGTCTCAGCGCTGGTCCGCGCTGGATCTCCTCCCAGGGTCCAAAATATTTTGAGATTAATCTCAAAACATTTTGAGATTCATCTTTAAAATAATACATAATATATTTTTAAATTAAGCTCATAACATTTTGATATTAATCTCATCATATTCTTAGATTAATCTCATAATTTTGCTAGTTCGACTTTATTATCATAATATTTCGACTTTTAAGTCAACATTTTATAACTTTATTCTCAGTCTGGTAAAAGAAGAAAAAAGGGTGACTCTTTTGCTTCGTGGCCTGTTGCTTTAGGCCTGTTGCTGTTTCCTCTGCCGTCTGCACACGGCCCTGCAGTCCCTTATATGGGCATTAGTGGGCGGTTACTTATGCTAAGTACCTATGCTAATGAAGCACCTGGCACGCGCGCTGTACTTACGAGGAAATGGGATTCATCAATCTGAGAGAACAGCTGCGAACAATTCAGCGCCTTACGAGTGCGTTGATGAATCCCACGTGGGGACTTCTTAGAAATCTACTTAAGGACAACTTGAGAAGAAAGTTGAGTAGTTTCTTACGAAGTTATTCGTGAATGAGGCCCAATGCTATCGCCGACGATGGTGGCGCACATGTTTTACAAATGATCAATTTATTCGCGAACGGTGAACGCTAGCGACTTTTTTATATCTCCGTGAAGTACACATTCCAGCCTTTCCGAAACTGCCTTTGGTTTGTCTCTGCTACATACGGGGGATAAACTACGTGTGTATGAAAGTCAGTCCCCCAAACGGATCTTCAAGCGGTGCCCCGTGAGATAGGCACAGCCGCATGTAAAGTTGTTTACACACACGGGGACTCAGACAAAGATTGTCAGAGAGTGAGATGGCTCACTCCTCTGTGTTTACTTGTTGCTGCATAGGCAGCAGCGCTCAGAGGAACCAGAGGAGTTCACATTATTGAGAATAGACAATAATAAATACAGTAAAATGATATTATGTGTATATAATGTATTTGTATATATAAATTAGATGTTTTATTTATTTTTTTGTCTTAGTTTGTTTTGTTTTACGTATTTTACAGCTGTGATACAGAAGCAACCACAGCCTCGTAGACAAACTGCTTGAGGAAGGGCATCAGGAGTACAGCGTTTTTGGCTTTTATAGTGGAATTTTGTAAAAATTATAATAGTCACTGGTTCAATATTTTTCCCCCTTATCCCCAAGACCATAAATAACATTTCTATGGAGTCTAAAAAGTTGTTTCTTATGGAGGACCAAAAATGACTAAAGTATAAATAAATAAATAAATAAATAAATACAGGAATGTATTAATAAATACATTCATTTTGGACAATAAAAACTAAATATTTACATTGATATGCTAAATATTACTCTGAAATCAAATAAATATACTTTTATTTAGGTTATTTATCAATATCTACATTTTTTCCTTTATTTATTTATCCATTTATTGCATATATTTATTTATGTATTTCTACATTTCTTCATTTATTTATTTATGTATTTCTACATTTCTTCATTTATTTATTTATGTATTTCTGTGTCGCTACATTTCTTCATTTATTTATTTATGTATTTCTACATTT